TACTGTGTATATTTATTATGTATATATAAATACACACACATACAGTATATATTTAAGTAAAATATGTTGTTTATATATTAAATATATATATATAATATAAAATATAAGGATATAAATGTATATTCATGTAAATATTTTCAAAATATATACTGTGTGTGTGTATTTATATATACATAATAAATATACACAGCACACACACACATATATTATGTAAACAAAAACTTTTATTTTGGATGCGATTAATCGTTTGACAGCACTACTTTCAAGTATTTTTTATCAAATAAATGCAGCCTTGGTGAGCAGAAGAGACTTCTTTCAGAAACATTAAAAAGTCTTACCAATCACGAACATTTCATCACAAATGTACTTAAAGTCTCGCTCATTTCTCTCTATAACCAGATTGGATCGTCTGAGCTCACGCTGGTCAGTTTGCACCTGACAGCAGCGCCGTCGTCTGCCGAACAGAAGAGAAAAAGCACGTGTGACGAGCTGAAGGCTCACCGACTGAGCGCTGGTCTCCAGGAAACTCTCAAAGGTCTGTTCCAACATCATACTTCATGCATTATTATTGCAGGACTCACTCTTATCTGTTCTGTGTCAGCTGCATGGTGCTATCAGCTGGACATGTGCTCTTTATGGTGTTTGTGCTGTATATTGACTGATACTGTGTGTTCTAGTGCAGGGACAGAAATGAAATAACACTGAAAATGACCACAACACCCCTCATCATTTCTGTGTTGGTGTTGCTGATGTAGGCGAGAGAGAGCTGCTGGTGCTGGGACACTTTGGCATGGGTCCCGACAGCCCTGAGATGGAGTGCCTGAGGAAAGAAAAACTGTCCGCCCTCCTCGCGCCGTCCGTCTTTACGAACATCAGCACACGCTCCCCGCAGGGATCCCGCTGTCTGGACAACATCTGGACCAGTCGCTCCCTCAAAAAGATCTACACAGGTGGGGGGTGTAGGATTTAATGCACTAGTCCTGTAGAAACAACTGGAAGCATTGAGATGGTTGTGATATTTTTGAAAGAAGCCTCATGTGCTCGCCAAGGCTGCATTTATTTGATCAAAAATACAATAAAAACTGTAAAAATGTGAAATATTATTACAATAAAAAAAAAACGTTTTCTATTGTAATATAATATAAGATGTAATTTATTCCTGTGACCAAAGCTGAATTTTCAGCATCATTACTCCAGTCTTCAGTGTCACATGATCCTTCAGAAATCACTCTAATATGCTGATTTACTGCTCAAGAAACATTTATGTATTATCACTGTTGAAAACAGTTGTGCTGCTTCATATTTTTGTGGAAACTGTGATTCTTTAATGAATAGAAAGTTCCGGTTTACTGCCAATTTTGATTGATTTAATGCATCCTTGATGAATATAAGTAGAAATTTCTATATCAAAAAATTCTATAAAAAAAAAAAAATTCTTGCTGACCACAAATGTTTCAACAGTGGTTTATATGTAACTTAAATAGCTCAAATAAACCATCTAAGGGTTATCGCATCATGAAATAACGTCAACAATCAATAAAGATATTAATACAGATAAAGAGCTGTATTCCAAGCGTACTTTCTCAAGCAGCAAATCAGCATATTAGAATAGGATCATGTGACACTGAAGACTGGAGTAATGATGCTGAAAATTCAGCTTTGATCACAGGAACATTAAAGCAATAAGCCCCGTGAAGCCGTGGTTTACAGTGAATTGATAACAGCTAAGGGGCGTTGTTAGGCACGACGCAAAGCGGAGCTGTTATAAATTCACTGTAAACCACGGCTTCACGGGGTTTATTGCTTTTATAAAATGGTTATTCCATATACGTAGTAAGGTTTCACAAAATAAAACGGAGCAAATAAAGTGTAATGATATTAATAAAAACAGTATTCTTCCACCAAACAATGTAGTTCCTCAGAAACAGTTGTGGTTGCAACAAAGTGGTTGCCGAGCAACACACAGAAGTAAACAAAGGTGTATGTTTGTAGAGTAATTTACAACAGCTTCGAACGTGGCTCGACCAATCAGAATCAAGGACCGGAACTATCCGTTTTATAAATAACATTTTAACATATTCACATAGGAAACAGTTATTTTAAATGGTAATAATATTTCACAGTTACTGTATTTTGATCAAACAAATGCAGCCTTTGTGAGAATAAGAGAACGGCTTTCAGAAACATTTACAAATGGTAATAATTCCAAGCGTTTGTCCTGTGCTGTTGGTTATACGGTATCTGTTGATGTGTTTGTTCTGCCCCCTCCAGGTCACTGCTGGGTAGTGCGTGAGGGCCTGACCAACCCCTGGATCCCTGATAACTGGTCGTGGGGCGGGGTGGCGTCTGAACACTGTCCTGTCGTGGCCGAGTTCTTCGTGGACGTCATGCTGAAGGAGCTCATGTGCAAAGGGAACGGAGTGGCGGTGGTGGAGAGAGGAGACTCCATGTCCAAACACGAGCGGTGACCTTTGACCTTTTACATGGTCCCTGTGGAAAAGGTCACCCGCGTCTGGACTGACACTATGACTCAATGTAGATGAAGAGAGCGAGAAGTGCACCATGATTGCCTTTGTTTTGTCCGTTCAATGTACAGTAGAGATTCTATAGCAACAAACAGTTGATTTTAATATAGAACAATGTAATGAGAGAGATATTTAAACACAGATTTATTAAACATGTACATACAATGAAGTGAAATAAGAAACAAATGACTATTGTGTGCCAAAACTTTTTAAGTGAGAACAATAAATCAATATTTACAACCTGAGTTTGTGTCTCGTATGCGGTGATTTAAGCGACATGTGTTAGGTATTGCATACTAAGATTCAAAAGGTTATTTATTGATTTTTTGGACCAAAGGAAAATGAGAAACGTTGCTTTTGCAGCAATATTAAAACAAACTTTTTTTATTTATTTTTTTTACATTTTTGCCGTTATTACGATAGGAGAGTTAATTGACACTGCCCACGAGGCTATCGGCACCAACAAAATAAACTTTTTTTTTTAAAAATATTTTATTTCAGTTAACATTTATTGTATTAGAAGTAAAAAAATAAAAAGTGGTTTTGGTTAACTGTATTAACCCTGGTTAGACTGAGGCTGCATGTAGCAGTAGAAAATGGCCTAAAGCTGAAAGTGCTCTGTCATACTGCTGTCTATCTGCTTTTAGACTTGCGCTATTTATCTAGCAAACATTCACCTGTTTGCTCAACCGTAGGTTCTGACACTCATGCTCGGTGAACTTTACACGCTCAGCAGATGAGCCGTACAGCTGCAGTGAAAAATACTAAAACACAATGCCAGTCACTTCATGCTAATGTTGAGTCACTGCTCTGATCATCTGCTGTGTTACAGTTACAGGACTTCTGCTTTCAGATTTTCATGTGCACATTCTCAAAACAACATCTATTAGCTTTAGTAAATCCTTTAAAAATCACCTTTAATTTCTTCTTCTATCTCTATAAATAGCTTATTGTGCATGTTGTAAAGCATGTAAAATACAAGCCCTTGTTTTATTTACAGTGTGCTGTGCATATTTAAATTCGCATGTTAGGTAAAATCAAATATACAGTATGTTCTATATACGTTGCACACAGATATACACCCATAAAGACATTTAAAACATGGGTTTATGTTTTATTTTATTTTTTCTGGCAGGGCAGAAAAGCGGTCCAGTGTGTCCTCTAGTGGCCGCTTACCTTTACTGCCTAAATGTGCATTTCATAACTAAATGGAAAATTAATAAAAGAGCAGCTGTCAAAATAAAATTTAATAATAATACATTATTTATATGTAATTTATTAACTTAGTATTTAAATATAGTTAAGCACAATTTTTTAACATTAATTAAATAATTTCAATTGACAATTTGCAAAATGCTTCATTTACTTTTTGATTTCCTATTAATAAATATATATTATAAAGTCCTGCATGTCTGTCCTTGTAAGTGTCAATCAGCAGGTGATCTGGTTACAAAGACATGTGAGAACAGACACCTGTGGAAAGAGTTTGCCAAAAGATCACTTACCGTGTGTTTGAGAGGGCATTGTGGGAATGGAGCTTGATCATTGCTCACTTGTAAACAATGAGCATACTTTGTTTGAAGTCATGGATAAAATCACCTGTAATTAAAGATGAAGTGGCCTGTGCTTACATGCAGTTTGATGTCATTTCTATAGTTCATTGGCTTTTATGTCCCCATGAAACAATACTGCATATTTGACATAAAATGCTAATCAGTTTTCATGTCACATGGTTTTCCCATACATAGATGTGCCTTCACCTTGAAATAAGTTACATATATATTTTGAAATTAGCAATTTTGAGTATTAGTATACATCTTATTCTGACCTGACATAAAACACAAATTATAGGTCATGTCTCTCAAATTCCAGTCTACCCTGTTACACTGGTTCTACTTACCCTTAAAATCTTAAGAGTATGCCATAAATCACATGACTTGTTGGAAATTACATCACTTCCTTGGAGGGAAAGCAACTCTAAGAACAAAGTATGTTAGTCATAAACATGTCCACCCTGTTGTGTCAATTTGTACCAGACATGAAAAAGTTGCTTTTTTAAACAGATGTTATATATCTATTAATATTCTTACTAAATGTTAATCTTCTGCTAGCATGTTGTTCTTTTTTAGCTAGTGTTTCAACTGTCCACCCTGTAACACATTGCATTGTAAAGATGTCATGTAACCGGGTGGAAATTAGCTAGAATGTGAATGTAAAATGTGAAATATTTGGTCAGGATTATTAGCTTGAGCCTGAGCTTGACCAGTGTGTTTCTCTAATAGACAGGCATTTTCTTCCTCTGATAAGACTAAAAAAATATATAATTTTTAGTTTATTTTTCAACAAACTTATCAGTCCAAAATCCACCAAACTGTGTGAATGAGACATTAAGATTATTCATAAGTAATGAATTGTCATGGACAATCAAGACGCAACCTAGCAAACACTTACTGTATGCAAGAGACAATAAACTATATTTGAAAAATATCTGAAATAATTTCAATGTAATTTAATTTAACATGCTTTAAAATGAACATCTGAACAGAGCTTGTCTGAATGCAAGGCATGAATTTATTTGATTTATTTAGATATATTAAGATCACATTGAGAAGTTGTCATGGGCCATGAAATCATTTTATAGGCAACTTTAAAGTGCTTTTTGATCTATGGGCAAATGACAGGAACAGAGCAAGGTCAAAGGTCATACACATCAACAATACAGTCAAGGTGGAGCAGTTATTCATATACTGTATATTTAGTATGTGACATTTAGGACTGTCTGCTTCCATGAAGGACACTTTTTAAACAAAGGTTAACATTTTGGCACCCAGAAAATGACTCTTTTTGTAATCATCAGCTGCTTAAGATTCAAATCATCCACAAGTTATATTGTTAAATGCATGCCATCATAAATATGAAAACCATTATATAAGCAGTTTATAAGATACACAAATTAAAATGTCATAAGAATTAGGGCTGTGCAATTAATCGCATGCGATTGTCATGCGCATCTCGTCAGTAAAGCCAGTTCTGTGATTAGTAGTAAATCGCCATCACCTGCTTTCAGATGGAGCGGTATGCACTAAACAGAGCCATAGTTCACTGACAATTAGGCAATATCGCGTTCATAATCGCAGATGAATCGCATTCAATTATGAACGCGATATCGCCTAGCTTGTCAGTGAACTACGGCTCTGTGTATTAAATGCCGCTCCATCTGAAAGCAGGTGATGGAGATTTACTACTAATCACGGGACCGGCTTTACTGACGAGATGCGCATGACAATCGCATGCGATTAATTGCACAGCCCTAATAAGAAATCAGGAAATAAACAGCTTAAGGATCTTGTAGTACATATGAATGTTTGGCAATCTGTAATTTGGCCCCTCAGTATCCCCTAAAAGCGAATGCACATGTCCTGAGAACCTTCAGAAGGGACTTAATGCTCTGCACTGGCTAAAAAAAAAAATTACAAGTTTTACCAAAAACAAATAAAGCTCCATAGGCCCCTATATAGACTGATTGTTTGAGTCTCTATCCCAGAAATCTCTTTATTTTCCAATCCACCTCAGGGCAAAACTCATAAAAAAAACAAAAAAGCATTAAGAGCTAAAATTGAGCCTGTTTTAAAACTATTAAGATTTTTTGCATTGTAACATTTTGTAATTTGGTCATTTGTTTTTACGTTTTGGAATATTAGTAATGATTAATGTCTGTGATATAATAAATTTTCACATTACAGTAATCGAATTTAGATTTTTGTAAATTTGCGCTAAATGAGGTACGAGAATTACAAGAATCTGAGGTGAGACGCCCTAAGTGTCATTAAAATAATTTTTGAAAATTCACAAATAATTAATGCTTCTAAAAATAAGCTTAATTTTTAATGCTAAAAGTAATTTCATCTTTCTTTCTTTAGGTTTTAGTGAAATATGACCTGAACATGTTTTTGTTTATGAATGGTAATGTATGACCTGGACAGGCTTTGTGAGATTCATGCTGGAGGTCAGAGGTCACATGTTCAGATAAGTATGCACAGCTCCTCATCAGTTAACTGGTTGACCTCCATGATTTTATGAAGCTGCTCCGTGTAGCGCGCTTGGTCCTGCAGGAAGTGAGGAATCCGCACATGCTCCATCAGAGCCAGACTCTTCAGGCGCTCCACGTCCTCATACGACACCTGCTCAACACACACACACACAGTTAAAAGTTAAAAGCTGCATGATTTGGGGAAAAAATGTAAATGCAGTTTTTCAATTATTAAACTATCAAACTTTTATTTCGACGTAAAACCACAGGAAAGCCCATAAAGCTTCTCTTTTGTGCTTCTCATTACAAGTATGGGAAGATGGCTGGCTCATGTTTAGTTCCCAAATGCACGTTAAACACACTCAGACTCAAAGGAGATGCAGAGATGTAGATCATGTGGAGCAGCATTCACTGTGAATCGATCCGAGATGCTTAAACTTGAATTATGAGCTGCTCACGTGTAAATGAACACAGTGCTGCGCTTCACTCAGCACATATATTGATTTAATTGAATATTGTGATTTAGCTTTCATTTCAATGAATCTTGCAGCAAATAAATCAAGTTAAGTGTGTCAGTAAAGTACCTTTCCCAGAGCCATGAGAAGCTGGAAGTCAATCTTGTCTCTGTGTCTGAGGATCTTCAGGATGCCATCTAGATAAACCTGGTCCTTACTGAAACAACCTTAATAACAAAAACATTTTATTATTTACACGCATAAGCAAGCAATAATAATTATGTAAGATGTCATAAGCCTTAGAATCATTGACGATACATATTTCCAAGGCCGATATATCGGCCGATAATTAGCATTTTTTAATTATCGACATTGTTCGGCAATTCTTGCTTACAGTGCATACATCCTTCTTATTCACATTCATAAGAATTTCTTTATTTGTGAAAAATACAATAGAATTACAGAATCAAGACATCACCATCTAAATAAATCTCTTTACCTTACAGATTTATTTTTTATCAAGTTCAAATTATAATTTTTTTCATATTAATTTTCAAATTTAGTAAATATTATGTAAAATAAATATAATTTTAATTTCAGCGATTGTTATGCATGTGTTTTTGCTATCTTTAAATGAAAGTGTGACATCAAATGTATATTGACTTTATACAAAACTACCAAATTTTGCTATGTTTAATCACAACATATAATCATTGCAGTTAATAGTGTTCACTGATTACATATCATTAACTAACTGCATTCATTTTACCGTATATTTCTGCCATATGGACATCAACTTGACCTAGTCACCACTGATAAGCTAAAGCTACTACTAAATATAATGTAGAAACTTTAAATTAGAAACTTCAATTTTCTGTAAAGCTGCTTTGCAACGATTTGTATCGTGAAAAGTGCTATACAAATAAACTTGAACTGAATTGAAATTGACTTAATATCGGTTATCAGCCACCCTGCTCAGATATCGGCATCATGCTGTACCTGGCAGTGCCGTGTCGGTCTGTCCTCGTTTGGCTCTGACGCAGTAGTCCCATCGCGTGTTGGGGTCGTGCAGAAACGCCGTGGTTTACAGTGAATTTATAACAGCTAAGGGAGTTACTTCGCGTCGTGCCTAACAAGGCCCCTTAGCTGTTATAAATTCACTGTAAACCACGGCTTCTTGGGGCTTATTGCTTTAATAACTATTAATAATCTGTAGTTATCAAATGAATTTCATTGTTGTCATATTATTCAGAGGAGCCCACGCTCTTCGCAATAATATTCGAAGAACCATTCATTTGTAATGAGCAGGATGTTTAAAAAATGTTTTAATCAATATTTCTACCAAAATAAAAAAAATAATTTAGAGCTTGGCATAACTCAAGAAAATATAAGTATAAGCAATATCAATAAAGATGCTTTCACCATTTAGCTCAATTCATTCACAATTATAAGCCATTATCGCACCCCTTGTGATACACTTTTAACATTCCAAAATTTCACTTTAGTATACTTTTTTATGGAAATAATATAAATATACTGTAACAAGATATACTTGAAAAAAGTAGACTAAATGTAAGACACTGAACTGTATGCTAACTGCAATTAAAATGGAAATGTAGAATATTTTACATTGATATTAAATTCACCAACTAAAGTAGGACTTAAATACATCTTTATATGTAATTTCATAATTACCTATACTCTCTTTGAAATATGGTTAAAGTTACTGCCAAATATACTGACAAGCATTTATGATCAACTAAAATATACTTTTTCATTTTTATTTAAAATTGTGTCATGTATTTAAATATATTTGTAATTACACATTTATGATGATCAAGTTGCAATTTACTAAATTTAAAATATATTAAATTTAAATGTTATACTGAACAACACATGACAGTTACAATTATAATCAATCACTACTTTCCATGTGCTTTAGTATGTTAGTCAACACATCAACATAAGTGCAAACATAATGAATTAAAATGTACTTTAAAGTAAAACTTTTGACATAATTATTAAGTGTACTTTTGAAAAATGTACTTAAGTGTCTCTCTTTAAGTGCACTTAAAGGGGTCATATGATGCGATTTCAAGTTTTCCTTTCTCTTTGGAGTGTTACAAGCTGATTGTGCATAGATAAGATCCCTGAAGTTGCAAAAACTAAAGTCTCAAAACCAAAGAGATATTCTTTATCAAAGTTAAGACTCTGCCACGCCCCCCTAAAACGGCTCGTTCTAACACGCCCCCACATATCTACCCCACTATGTGGAAATATTAGCATAATGCCGCAAATGTGCACGCAAAGAAAGAAGGCGTGGTTTCAGTAACCGCAGTTAGGGTTGAAGCAGCCATGTAAGGAGGGGGCTTTGTAGAAAACGAAGCGTTTGAGAGAGGCGGGGCATAGAGGACCTACAATAATGTACAGTATTTGAAAAATAATGTGTTTTTTGAACATTAAAGCATGTCAACATATTCTGTTACACCAAATACACAAAATAATGATCTTTAAAAAAGCATCATATGACCCCTTTAAGTGTTCTTTTATTTTATTATTATATGATCTGCAAGTATTTTTTAATTTTTAAGACTTCTAGCGCATTAATAATACAATTAACCACACTTCTTTTTCACAAGGCACTCACTTGTGACTACTGAACATATCTTTACCAAAACATTGCAAACAATTGCTAGGTCAAGTCTCCAGCAGCCAACCCCTGATTTCTGAGCAGACCAACAGAGAAAGTGAAGCAGAGCGAGAACACACAGCGTGGGAGTGTAATTAATGTGGTCCTGACACTCAGCTCTGATACGCTCAGGGTCTAATAGTCCCTGACAGAAGGAACACAAGCTGTTGCCGACACAGACGGCTGGTTTTTCTGGGGTGACCGAGACACGATCCACAGTACAGAGCACAAGGGAGTGGAGCTGGTGGATCATGAAAGACTTGAATGGGTCTCACTATTCTAATATGAGACTCAGTGGACTGTCAGATGTTGATATAGACAAACACGCACCGATTTCATGCCTCAGCATCCCCTCCAGCCACTGCTCTCTGGCAGTAGAGATGTTAATGGTGAGTGTAGGTCTGCTGTTCACCACAGTCATAGACGCTCTGGACAGGAGGTCATCAGTGAGATTAACCACAATCTGCAGAGAGAGAAAATTTTACATCTACACTCAAGAGGATATCAACCGAATAATATCAATAAACAACACTACCATTCAAAAGATTGGGGTCAGTAAACCAGCATATTAGAGTGATTTCTGAAGGATCATGTGACACTGAAGATAGGAGCAATGATGCTGAAATTTTAGCTTTTCCATCACACAAATAAATTGCATTTTAAAATGTATTATGGTAGAAAACAGTTATTTTAAATTGTAATAATATTTCTAAACTTTTGCTGTATTTTTTATCAAATAAATGCAGCCTTGGTGAGCATAAGATACTTCTTTCAAAAACAAAAAAAAACTTTTTAAATGATAAATTATTTCATATTTTTCTCAACTGTTTTTGAGATTTTTTGATTGAATTAAAAGTGCAGCTAACAAACTGAATTTGCATTTAAATGCTTCTTTTTAATTATCTCGCTCTCTCACCTCTCCCATGCATCCTTCCTTCTCCATGTATTTTTTGACATGGTACCAGATACGGCTCTTGGTGAGGAGGTTTCCTCCAGTAGCCTGTTCAAACTTCTCATAGGAGCCGTATTTCTGCAAGGCCAACTCCATGATCCGCACAGCCTGAGACGACAGCAAACACTCAGGAGACAACTTTTACAGATAACACCTTTTGCTGCCTAAGTGAGCCTAAATTAGTCCCTTGTGTAGTACGACTGATATTTGGAACTGCTTGTGCTTTAAGATAAATCTGTGTAAGTGAAATATGCCTGCAGAAGCATAACTCAATATAACCTTCAATTGTTACGTCATGTATGTACAGACCATATAGCTGGGGCTTTGGTGTTGCGTGGATTTATGAAAACTGATTTGTGATCCATCAGTTTATGCCTGAGGTTGATCCACAATGAGCTCGGCACTCTGAGATAATCAATATAATGGTCTGAAATGAATCCATTTATCCTTTGCTGCAGCACACAAAGCTCTAATACAGCCACTATACCCTACATTTAAACATTAATCCATAAAATATAACTTGCTATGTTGTTTTTGTTGGCTTTTGCAGCCAGGAAAACTATTATGGGATCTCTGATGCCCTGTATAAAGTGCTCTGTGTTGGTCCCTCAGTGTTGGCTCTGTTTAATAGCTAGCGGGAAACTGAATTGAATTGAAATAATGAACTCTTTAACCTTCAAAGAGGTTTATTAGTCTGACTGTGTTGTTGGCAACACATACAGTTGTAGCACATTGCTTTGAGCTGCTGAGCCTGAGACGCAGCTATAAAGGTAAAGCACTTGTTTCTAACTTAATCCATGTTGAACGTACAAAACTAAAGAGTCAGAATGTTTATTTCAGGAGCAATTCCTATTAATCTCACTTACAGGACTGTGACCTTTCAGCAGGGGTGCCAAACTCAGTTCCTGGAGGGCCACGGCCCTGCAGAGTTTAGCTTCAACCTTAATTAAACACATCTACAGCTAATCTAAAATTCTACAGGATTATTTGAAAACTACTGGTAATATGTGTGTTGGAGGAGGGTTGGAACTGCGGCCCACCAGGAGCTGGATTATGGAATGTGAATGAGAATAACGAACGCAAAACCTTATAGAAGATATCAGCATAAAAAAGGATGAAAGCAAATGAATGCTAAATGCGTAAGTCCTTTTTAAAGCAATGCAGCATGCAATAAAATTAAAAACAAAACCATTAGACATAAAAGCATTTGTTAATTACTATGCTAAACACATATGCTAAAGGTGTACAAATTACTATTTGGCTAATTTTGAATATGCATAATTGCATGATTTTCAGTCTAGTATTTGTCACAACCCCTTGCACAGTGGAACAGGTTGTAGAGCAGTGGCAAAGTATGAATGTATGTCTTGGTGAATTTTAGGGTAACGAAGTTTGCTAGACACTAATGCTAATGTGCAAACGCAAGCATTGTGCGCCAAAGTCAGAATGAAATATGGCATGCCCAAATTCAGAGGCTGTATCCTTTCAAGGCATCACAGTGGCATGACGAAGGCCGTCCATTTCAAAGCCTCCTTCAAGCGTGGCCTTGAAATGCGTCCTTCATTTTCCAAGCCACAAAGGATACAATGAATGGATCCTTCGTGGACCAGACGATCTCAAAGTTCACTGCACACTGGTGACAACGGGATTTTTTTGGAGAGAAAATGCCGAAATACATTTTTTAATAAAAGTACTAGGTTTCAACTTACTTGAATATTTAACAATACAAATGTTTAAAAAACACTTTAAAGTGGTTCAAATGTTGACATATCTTTACATAACTGCATCTAATTTCGGAAGATGTCTTGCTACACAATGTAATTTAAAAAGGTATAGGGCCCAAAACACTCTATGCAAGTGTACTGTGTCTGTGCACTTATAAGACATTGGACAAGCTTTTGTTGAATACTAGTATAGTAGTAAAGGTGCGGTCACATCGTGATTTTGCCAAAATTTTGCCAAAAAAGTTCCCTTGGGTATAGTCAAACATATGAAACATAGCTCACACAGAAGTCACTTTCACACCAAACAGCTTTCTATTGGTTAGAGTGGCGAATTCATGTGTCAAACCCATTTCAAAATATGCAATGGAGAATCTTTTGTCTTCCCAATTGTAATGATTCCTGTTGAAATCACTGGATTCCCTGTTGAACAAAACAGCATATGCTGGTTAGGTATATTTTGAAGCATGGCAGCTGGTTTAAGGTGGTCCTGTGCTGGTTATAAGCTGGTTATGAGCTGGTCCTGAGCAGGAGCTCATGCTTAGGACCAGCTTAGTTAGGACCAGCACCTGACCAGCTTAAACCAGCTAATAACAGCTGCCATGCTTCAAAATATACCTAACCAGCATATGCCTCAGGCCCAATTTTGAACAAGTGTATGTTTGTGACTGGATAACAGTGGATACCGAGTCAAGGTCCTTAATTTGTTCTGTGGGAGAGTATGGGCACTCACCTGTGTGAGGAAGCGGTCTGAAGCGGTGCTGTGCTTTGCTAGTACTTGTGGAGGCAGAGGGTTGCTGTACTCAAACTGAGGATTGTATTTAAAGTCTGCTTTGAAAAACCTGGCCTTCTCTTTCTCTACATTAGACGGCTTTATGGCAGTGAGGATGCAGAGCTTCTTGATTGAGTTCTCTACATCACGAGCAGCAGGAAGCACTCTGGACAGCTGCGGGAGTTTGGTGCCGGCCGGGCAGCTGTTTTTGGGCCTGGGGATTGGTCCGGGGGACAGGCGGATGGCACTGCCCAGCATGGTGATGCTGTTAGTTTGCTTGGAACTGCTGGTGGAGAAACACGAGAACACCGACTGAGAGTGCCTGCTGTCTCTGCAACCAAAAGCCAGGCCACTCATCGTTAGAGGTGCAAGGGTCGGCAGGGGTCTGTCGCGATGCCTTGCCGTGGAGACTCGTTTGGGGCACTTGTTGGAGGAGTGTTTAGTGCTCTCCTGAGCATCTGACTCTTTCTGCAGAAGTGTGTTGTAGCTGCTGGTGGCTGTGTTAAACAGGTCCTTCAGAACGCCAGAGGATATGCGCTCCAGATGCAGCTGACTGGGGCTCACAGGCTTCTCCATGGGGCTTAGGACACAACTCTTAGACATTTCCATCTCTGGCCAATGGAGCCGTTCTGGAAGGAAATGGCAAAAGATGGGGTACTACAATAATCTACTCAATTCTTAATTCTCTTTGCCAGTGAGGCATAAAAGGACTATGGCTTGAACAAACAGACATATTTGGGTGATTCTTCTTTAACATTTTGTTTTCTGGAGACCATTTAAAAAAAAAAACAATATACATACAATATATACCTAAGGATGTACTACAGTGAATTGCTGTCTTGTAGTCGAGACCAGCTCATTCGATTCAAGGCTTAGACTTGAGTAGGTTATGTCTAAATAAAGACAAGAAAGGGGTTGTGTTCGAGATCAGAAGAGTCACATCTGAGTCAAGTCCGAGACCAAAAGAAGGTCGCTTCAAGTCAAGTCTGAGACCAAAAGAGGGTCGCTTCAAGTCAAGTTCGAGACCAAAAGAGGGTCGCTACAAATCAAGTCTGAGACCAAAAGAGGGTCGCTTCAAGTCAAGTTCGAGATCGAAAGAGGGTCGCTTCAAATCAAGTCTGAGACCAAAAGAGGGTCGCTTCAAGTCAAGTCTGAGACCAAAAGAGGGTCGCTTCAAGTCAAGTCTGAGACCAAAAGAGGGTCGCTTCAAGTCAAGTCTGAGACCAAAAGAGGGTCGCTTCAAGTCAAGTCTGAGACCAAAAGAGGGTCGCTTCAAGTCAAGTCCATCGCAAAAAGAGGGTCGCTTCAAGTCAAGTCTGAGACCAAAAGAGGGTCGCTTCAAGTCAAGTCCATCGCAA